TTGGCTCACAGACGAGGCTCCCGCTCGAGACTTCCGCCAGATGCAAATCTCAGCCCAACAGCAACGACAATTACAGGATCCTGGTGACCCACACGGATTACTAACATGATCTGCGGGACCCATAGGAAAGGAGCTATTTACTCACACACGAGACCCCCGCCTGAAACTGTCTCTGCACTCAAGCTTGGAGTGTCCAGAGACAATTACAGGTCCCGATGACCCGCTCGGATAAATGAAATGAGATGCGGGCCCCATAGGAAGGGGGCTTCTGCCTGAGACCTCCTCACAATCTACTTACAGACGAGGTTCCCGCCAGAGACTTCCTCTGCACTCCAACTTGCAGCGACCCAACGTGACGACAGTTACAAGGTTCCGATGACCCGCTCGGATTCATAGCATGATCTGAAGGCTCCAGGGGGAGGGGGCTCCCGCATGAGACTCCCTCGCAAGTCACTCAGAGACGAGGCCCCGAGACATCCTCACGATGCGCCCCCTTAGGATGCTCCAAGGCGATGCCTGCTGCAATAAATCCATGACCCGCTCGGACTGCAAACAGGACCTTCGGTCCCCAGACGGAAAGGACTTTCGCCTGAGACTTCCTCACACCTCACTCACAGACAAGGCCCTCCGCTCCAGACATCCTCGCGATTTGCCCCTTGGGGTACTCAAGTGCTATGCCTGCTGCAATAATCCAATGGCCCGCTCGGATTACTGACGCGATTCACTCAGCGACAAAGCATCCGCTCGAGAGATCCGCACTATTTGCCCTCTTGGGGTGCTCTGCCTGCTACAAGAAGCCAATGGCCCGCTTGGGTTACTAACATGATCTGCGGTCCCGCTACGGAGAGGGCTCCCGCCTGAGACTTCCCCGCAGTTCACTCACAGACGAGGGCCCCGCTCGAGACATCCTCGCGATTTGCTCTGTTGGGGCGGTCGAGTGTTATGCTTGCTACAGCAAGCCATGATCTGCGGGCCCCACAGGGAGGAGGCTGCCGGCTAAGACTTCCTCGCAATTCACTCAGGGACGAGGCCCCCGCTCGAGAGAACCTCACGAATTGCCCCCTTGGGGTGCTCAAAGGCTTTGCCTGCTACGAATACGCCAATGACCCGCTCGGATTGTTAACATTATCTGCGGGCCTCATAAGGAGGCAGTTGCCGTCTGAGACTTCCTCGTAATTCACTTACAGACGAGGCTCCCCCCTGAGACTTCCTCCATACTGAAGCTCGCCGAGGCAAAACGCGAAGACAATTACAAGGTTCCGATGACTCGCTCGGATTAGGAACGTGAGCTGCGGGCCCCATAGGGAAGGGGCTTCCGCCCGAGACTTCCTCGCAATCCACTCACAGTCTAGGCCCCCGCTCGAGACTTCATCATGATGGGATGACCAGTGGAAGTGATGGCATGGGATCATGCTATCGAAGGAGATGAGTGTATGTGTGTGAGAGATGATGATGTTGACGATAGCGATGTTGGCGATAGTGGCGATAGTGGCGATGGAGAAAGGGACGATGGTGATGATAATTGCATGATGCTGAGTGGGTGGATGATGAGTGAATGTGAATGAGTGTGGATGGTGATGATCATGTTGATAATGCTGCTGATGATGATCATGATGCTAGTGATGATGATGACGATGATGATGATGCTGGTGGCGATGATGATGACGATGATGACGACGACGATGATGACGATGATGGTAGTGATGATGATGCTGATGACCATGACGATGATGACGATGATGATGACGACTACGACGAAGACGACGACAACGACGATGACGATGATGATGATGATGGTGGTGGTGATGGTGATGATGATGTGATGATGATGATGATGATGATGATGATGATGATGATGATGATGATGATGATGATGATGATGGTTGTCTGAGTGTGTGTGCATGGGTGCGTGAGCATGCGAGTGTGGAAGATTTGTGCGGAGGATTAGATCCTGCGCGGGAGGCGTGCGTAGAGAAAACAAGAGCCCCACTTTGTATTGTGGGCGCAAAACAGGGTTCAACTATATCATCTGGATGCCAACGTGTCTTGAAGATTACCCATCGCCCTCGCATGAGGTTTCGATATTGCTTCACGACGGTGCCAAAGCGTCCAAACACAACTCCTGCAAACCCAATCATGATAGAGAGGGGGCCGGCGGCAGACGGCGAAGCCCTTACGGATAAAATAACGCCCTCTCGTCATTCGAGAGGCAAATCCACGGCACACTGCAGATGTGACGGCTTGAAAAGGGGAGCGAACAATGACATAAACACAAAATGCGCTGGACCTCCTGGCGGCGCCTCCGGCGCCGCCCCTGGCGCGCTCCGCGCACCAGGAAGGGGGGTCCAGCGCCGATCCGAGAAATCCGCGAAAACGTCCGAGTTTTGATGTTTATGTCATTGTTCGCTTCCCTCAGAGAAGCGCGCCCGACCAACGAGTGCCTTCGGCACGGCGGACCCGGGCGACGGGCACTCGCGCGGAGAGGGCCCCGCGCGATGGGGGGCCTCCCCCCGCCGGCAGGGGGTGCAGGCACGCCCCGTCCAGCCCTCCCTGGCATGTACGGCAGGTCAGCGTCGGCGCTGGGTTCTGGCACACCTCCTCCTCCTCCTCCTCCTCCTCCTCCTCCCCCTCCTCCTCCTTCTCCTCCTCCTCCTCCTCCTACTCCTCCCCCCTCCTCCCTCTCCTCTCCTCCCTTTTTCTCCTCCGCCTCCTCCTCCTCCTCTTCTCTCTCCTCCTCCTCCTCCTCCTCCTCCTCCTCCTCCTCCTCTCCTCCTCCTCCTCCTCTCTCTCCTCTCCTCTCCTCCTCCGCCCCTCCTCCTCCTCCTCCCCCCTCCTCCTCCTCTCCTCTCCTCCTCCTCCTCTCCTTCCTCTCTCCTCTCCTGCCCTCCTCCCTCTTCCTCCTCTCCTCCTCCTCCTCCTCCTCCTCCTCCTCCTCCTCCTCCTCCTCCTCTTCTCATTGTTATGTGTCTCTTATTATTCTTATTATGCTTATTATTATTAGTATTATTATTAGTATTATTATTATTATGATTATTATTATTAATATTATTATTATTATTATTATTATTATTATTATTATTAGTAGTAGTAGTAGTACTATTATTATTAGTATTATCATTAGTATTATAATTATTATTATTAGTATTAGTATTATTATTAGTATGTTTCTTATTATTATTAGTATTAGTATTGGTGTTAATATTCTTCTTCTTATTATTAGTATTATTATAGTACTATTAATAGTGTTATTAATATTAATAATCGTAGTAATAATATGATTAGTAGTATTATCAATATTCATATTATCATGATCAGTAGCATTTTCATTATCATTATTATTGTTACTATTAGTAGCATTAGCATTATTACTATTATTATTAGTAGTAGTAATAGTATTATTACTAGTATTATTATTACTACTATTACTATTTCTATTACTAGTATTATTAATAACATTATCAGTCGCATGATCATTATCATTATTACTGGTATTATTAGTATTAGTATAATTATTAGTAGTAGTAGTAGTAGCACTAGTATTATTATTATCATTAGTATTGTCGTTGGTAGTATTGTTATTAGTATTCTTATTAGTATTAGTCGTATTATCATTAGTAATATGATTACTATTATTACTATCATCATTACCATTAATATTATCAGTAGTAGTCCTACTATTCTTCTTCAGAATAGTATTAGTCGTCCTAGTATTCGTGTTATTATTAGTAGTCTTAATATTAGTAGTAGTATTATTATGCGTATTATTATTAGTAGTGTTAGTGGTATGATTAGTGGTATGATTCGTATTATTATTCGTATTATTATTAGCCATATTATTATTAATCCGAATATGATTATTAGTGATATTAGTACTCTTCGTTTTATTGGTATTATTCGACTGCTTCGTCTGAGTAATACTCTTCGCAATATTATTATCATCCGTAGTATTCGTCTTAGCATTCTTATGATTAGTCTGAGTAGTCGTAATATGCGTATGCTTACTATGATTCGTCGTCTTCTTCTTAGCAGTATTCCTCATACCCCTCCCACTCCTCCTCATCATGATACTTTTCCTCCTCCTCCCCCCTCCTCCTCCTCCTCCTCCTCCCCCTACCCCTCGTCGTCCTCCCCATCCTCCTCCTCCTCCTCTTCCTCCTCCTCCTCCTACTCGTCCTTACCCTCCTCCTAGCCTCCTCCTCCTCATCCACATCATTCTCATCCTCACTCCTCCGCCAATCATCTCCTCATCCCTCGTAATTCGAATCTCACATGACACCATTATCCCCATCCCTCCTCCCCCTCCTCCTCATCTCCTCTTCATCCTCCTCAATCCACTCTTTTTCCTCTCCCCCATCCTCCGCCTCCTGCCTTCCTCCTCCTCCTCATCCTCCTCTTCCTCCTCCTCCCTCATCTCCCCCTCGTCCGTCCCCTCCTCCTCCTCCCCCTCCTCGTCGCCTTCTTCGTATTATTAGCATTAATAGTCCTATTATGATTCGTCTTCTTCGTATTCTTCTTCGTATTATCATGAGTATTACTAGTAGTAGTAGTAGTAGTAGTAGTAGTAGTAGTAGTAGTAGTAGTAGTAGTAGTAGTAGTAGTAGTAGTAGTAGTAGTAGTATTAGTCGTAGTCGCAGTAGTAGTAGTAGTAGTAGTAGTAACAGTAGTAGTAGTTATAGTAGTAGTAGTAGTAGTAGTAGTAGTAGTAGTAGTAGTA